TTCAGAGGTCCAGCACTGATTGAGTACGCAAGACTTAGTGCTGGCTATGTTGGCTAACGCTATGCGTTGACTGTGTTTGCTAACATCTAGCGCTGACTGAGTTTCTAAAAGATAGTTGCCACTCAGGATCAAATCTTTCACACATGCTATAGATCCTGCACGAGTCACCTCGAGCTCTACAATGCCGCCTGACAACTGCCACCACGTCCTGGCCTCACACGTGTGGAATGATAACCGTTCACCTCCCTACGACGATCCACCTCCTGTAACCGTCCGTTTCCCTTAACGCTTTAGGTTACCGCTTGAAACTCTCCTCCACTGTCGAAAACCTCTGCATCTTTCCCCAATACACCGAGAAACCACTTACGCCCGACGGAAAACTACCAAAACTAAAGGAAAGCCCTGAGCCCCTCTGTTCCAATTGCTTCCATTGTCGCCTCTTTTTCCCTTCGCCAGAATCCTCAAAACCACGACCGAAATTCCCCTACATCCCGGTGAATTCCCTTTTCTCACTGCAAGCATTTGTAACTTCGGAAAAACTTCAACAAGTTCCTTGGTGGCTTCGCTGCCCTGGTCCGCAAAATCCTGCAAGGCACAGTCTTCCTTGCTTGCCCTTGTCGGAACCCTCTACGTTCTCACCAAAGATTTTGCTAAAAATCTCCTTCTCACTATTGAAAATTTTTTACCTTAAGTTTTTTTACCTTCGGTGAAAAAGTGAAAATGGGGGTTACCCCCTTATATAGACGGATCCTTCCCTCAAATGCCCCTTGCAAACTGAGAATCCCAGTCACGTCCAGGGAGGCCAAATGCTAGTGGGTCGTACCGGGTCGGGTAATGTCCTGAGGCCCGAGGCAAAAGTTTTTATCCCCGCTCATGAATTCCTATGCAACAGAGGCTAGAACCGCGTCGGGCTCAGGTAAGAGCCCGAACGCTAATCCACGCCCAGCACCGGCTATGTTGTCAAAACTACCTAGCACCAGCTGTGTTTTCAGTAACCCAGCACTGGCTATGTTCTTAACGACCCAGCGCAGGCTGAGTGTTCAAGAGACAATGGGTGGACGTTCTCAGCGCCGGCTGCATTTTCAAAAGGCTCAGCGCTGGCTGAGTGTCTAAGGAATAGTGGTGGACGTTCTCAGCACCGGCTGCATTTTCAAAAGGCTTAGTGTCGGCTGAGTTTCCAAGGAACAGTGGTGGACGTTCTTAGCGCCGACTGCGTTTTCAAAAGGCTCAGTGCTGACTAAGTGTCCAAGGAATAGTAGTGGACGTTCTCAGCGCTAGCTGTGTTCTAAACAATCCATTGTCACATGCCCCATGGTAAAAGCCGTGCGTGTCCCATTCCTACTATCCCCAGTGAAGTTGCACCCTGACCGTGACCTGTTATCCTCAGCGGAGTGGTACCTAGGTCGTTCTACTCAAGCCATGACTTCTCAACCCCAGTAAGAGTCATACTTGCACTGCAGCTCATTATCCCTAATGGAGTACCACTGCAACCCCCAGTGGGTCTGCCTCACACCTAGGAGTCGGGTACCATTTTTTACCTATAAGGGACCCACACCTGTTCCCATTATCCCTAATGAAGTTGATTTTCGCATCTGAGCCCCTTGCTAATCTTAACCATTTTATCCTCATGGAGTCAAATTCACATCTACAGACTTATTCCCCATGCAGTGTCATCCACATGGTGACCCACACCGTGGTCTTGGCTGCATGAATCAAACAAATGGCCGTAATATTGGTTTTTGAAGATGGTTGCATTATATTACTATACAACCGTTGCATGAAATTATTGCTCGTAAGAAACATCTTGAGACAATCGGATTTTGGTTGGGATAAGGCTAATCGAATGGTGATTGTCGAACCAGCCACATGTGATTAGTGTACAGCGATGAGTTGAAACACATTTGTTGTCTATTTCTTTGTGGTTTGCAAGTTTAGGTGTAATGTTCACACAAATTCAATACATACGTGTGTTCTCCTTTCATGAGTTTATGTGACAAAGTACAAAGGCAAATCTTTGCCTGTATACTTCAACGAATTGGAGAAGATATTTGGCACGGATGCTTCGGATTGAAGCCATGTGGAACAGGGAAGAAATAGGTATTGATGTTTTCCTCAAGGCATCTCGGCATCTCAAGATTGTTTTCCTAAGCATCTAGTCTTTGCTTTCATTAAAGTTCTAATTGTTGTCTAAATCTTTTTTTTAATGATGGGAATAGTGTGGGACAAACAACAATGTTATTTTATTGTTAAATGAGATATGTTTTTTAGGATGGGATATGGATGCATCAGTGGTGAATTTATGTTTAAGTAGTGTTCAAGCTATTATAGGTTATTGTTAAATGAGCTGGTTTCTTACTGCATGCATATGGATGCATGAATTGTGCATGTATATTTGTATGTTGTGCTGAAGCTATTATAGCATAGTCCAATAGAATACAGGAAACCAAATCCATAATTACCATGATCTGCGATAGATATGAGTGTGTCTGAGAAATAGTAAGAGAGCGAGAGAGAGTTTGTATTCGGTTTAAGAAGAAAGTCATTGACTACCTACTTTTGAGATTTAAACACCTATTTCACTTCATAATTTTAAAAAGACTCAACAAATTGTATACCCATAATAGTCAAGAAAATATATTGATGTCTATTTAAAACAGTTAATTAGGAAAGTAGTGATTTGGTACACAATATTGAATTGAGGTTGTGCTTGACATTGTCTACAGACTGCTTCAGTTTTAAGGTGCAATAAAGTTTATCATGCAAAATCTGCTTCAATTATTGTACAAATATCTCGCTCTCTAGAATGGTTATCTCATTCATCAATAAAACTCACACACACACACACACTCTCTCAATCCAATGTACTTTACTTTCAATTGATATTTTATCCCAAAAATATAATTCTAAAAATTCAATAAATAAATAATATTCAGGTATCAATTTTAACATTGTACACCTTGCCTATTACTTCTACAACTAATTCAATACAAATATCGAGTACTTCTTAGTCTTTCTGCAGGTTATCAAATACATGTACTTAGAACTTACTTAACATTCCAGGAGGTTATCAAATACAGAAACCAGGAACTTCTTTAACTTCTTAGGAGGTTATCAAACACAGAAACCAGGAACTTCTTACAACAACTTCTATCTTCTCAGCAAGGAAGAACTTCCAATTTATAGTTCATGAACTTGCTTCTAGTTATCAAACACGCCTCAAGAGTTTGTGATGTCTATTTCCCTCATGTTAACAATGCCCAAAGCTAGACATGGTTCCCAACTTAGAAGCACAAACATTAAAATATGGGTGGAACTCCAGCTTAGTAAACTCAGTGATTTTTAGAATACGAGCTTTCGGCTTTTGAAAAACCGAAAACATTAGAATTTTGGTTTTCAAAAACCGAAAATATAAGGTTTTTGGTTTTTGAAAAATAAAAAATTATGTTTAATTCAAAGATTTTTGAAAAATTGAAAACATTCAAATTTCGATTTTTTAAAAACCGAAAATTTTATATTTTCAAACATAACACATCAACTTACTGGAATGCAGAATACGAGTTTTCTGTTTTTGAACAACCTAAACATTCGAATTTCAGTTTTTCAAAAATCGAAAATATAATATTTTCTTGTGGTTAATTCAAAGAGAACACATCAAGTTACTAGAATGCAGAATATGGGTTTTTGGTTTTTGCAAAAACTAAAAAATTATAAAAAATTTCGGTTTTTGAAAAACCGAAAATGGGTAGTTAGGTCTTTAAAAAAACATTACAAAGTGGAAAAAACGGACCTATGTGTAATAATGGAAAGATTTCGGTATTTAAGTAATAACAAAAAATAAAATGGATATTTATATAATTTTTTCTAAAATTTATTTTAACTTCATGAGAGGGTAAATATAAATTTTCCTATTAGTTAAATTAAGTGATCTATGTATTTTTTTTTTTTTCCATTTTTACCTTAAAAAGAAGTTATGATTTTCCATATGATAGTCAATATTTTTTAATCATGTTCAAAGCACTTGCTACTTACTAGTAAAATTTTGATTGTCAGTTTTAATTTCACTTTGAAATGTCCACGGCTTTGGATTTTACTTAAACAGGCGGCGGCGTCCCGTAATGGGAAGAGTAAGGAAGGTATACTTTTTTTACATTTTTTACCTAAAAAAATTATAATTTTTCATTAGATAGCATAGCACGTGTTACTTACTGGGGAAACTGTAATGGTCCGTTTTAAATTTTAATTTAACTTTAAAATTAAAATTTAAGTTAAATTTTAATTGAACGGGAGGCGGCGTCCCCGTAATGGGAAGAATAAGGAAGTTTCGAGCGGTCATCCCTCAACGTCCTTTCCGGACCCGCACTCATTGCCTTTTTCTTTCCTCCTTTCCCTCGCTCTTTTCCATTGTTCTTTTATTTTTTATTTTTTTTATTTACGGAAAGTATAGAAAAAGTTAGTATAGAGCCAAGGCTCTAAACAATCAAATTAGAACTCATCTCAAAAATTTCATTAGAAAAGTTAATTTGATGCTCAAATATCCTAAAATTGATCATTTTGACATCAAGATGTACAAATATGAGAAAAAAATAAAATTTAAGTTTTTGAAATAGTGCATCAAGTAACATATTTTTTGACCGTCAATTTTAAATATTTTCAAATTTTCACATATCTACTCAATCTACAGTAATTTTAAAAATTTAAATTTTATAATTAAAAATAAAAAATAAAGTTAACATATAAATCTGTACAGGAACCACATTTTTGGACGCTATTCGAAGGTTCGGTTTACTTTGATTGTTTAGAGCCTCGGCTCTATACAAACCGCACCATTTTTTTTATCCGCCTCTCGTTCCTCGCGTCTCCCTCTGACCCACGCCTCCGCCTCCTGTTTAAGTCAAAGAAAGAGAGCGGAACGAAAGGGCGAAGCTACCCGTTTCGTAAAATCCATTGAATCTCCTCACAGAGATAAGGATTCCATTGCTCCATGAATTAGGTACAAACGACATGCAACCAAACTCTTCTTTCTTCAAAAATTTTGCATGTATATATATATGTCCGTGGACGCAGGAGATGCTTGCTTCTCTTTTATCATAGTACTCTCTCTTTCTCTTTCATATTTTCCTTCTTTCTGGTTTCTTCATCTCCTATTAATTTTACCTCTCTTTCTCTCTCTACGTGTATAGAATTGGTTCTTTCAGATCTCTTGTAGACTTCTCTGAAGATTAAGTTGGCTTCCGGTTGATATCTGTTTGCCTGAGTGGGTCGAGAGGGAGAGGGGATAGGATTACGAAAGAAATGATTCAGTTTGGAGGGATGAGCTCCCGCACTCTTTCTTGCCCAACTTTTGAGATCCCGCGCCTGAAGTAAGTCATCTTCTTCATTTGCTTTTTTCCCTAATATTTTGTTCTTCTTATCTTGTTTCTATGATGAATAAATGTTCATTTGAATGTTGTTTTGTCTGATTGGGATGAACTTTTGCCCACATAACCTTGTATTATCCATAATTTCTGTGTCAAATTCTTTTTTTTCTTTTGGTAAATTTTTTCTCTGGATGCTCAGGAGAATTGGGAATGGTTTAGAAGGATGTTTGCAATCTAGGTTTCCCTTTTTTTTTTTTGTCTGCGTTTGTTCCATATTTTGAGGTTTCTGAAGTTCCCTTTCTGGATTTTAATGTTATAGTACCTGAATTTCTTTTTGAAGGGTGGACAAACTGTATTAGGTTTTATATGCACTCCAATCTCCTATTTATATAGAAGATGATCATTTGCTACCTATTAAGAATTATAAACATAAGGTTTCTTAGCTGAAGTAAATTGAAAATATGGATGCCATGATCAACCCTTTGAATGTGAGTAATGTATCTTTGCCATTTGGAAAATATGTAATTTTTGTTGATAGCAATTCTAACAAATTGGATTTGGTTATTAGGGTGTGCTTTTGTGATCTATTTGCTATGCATATGTGGCCAATGACTAGTTTTTGCGAACATCAACAAAACCTCTTTTTTTTTTTCTCTCAATATTATATCTAGTAGTCTGAAATTTTCAATTAGCAGAAAAATGAAGTCTATTGCCTTAATCTCTATCAAAAAATAAGTCCAACATTATTCAACTCTGAGAGGATTAGAAGGGCATGATTTGTTATGCCAATGATTTGATTTGATCAACTGAACTTGTTTCCCATTATTGGTAACTTTCCTTTCTATTTCTTGAGGTGTTTGTCATGTCCTGACAGAAAGGGATCTTTAATTACTCTTACTTGGAAAAGGTAACGCAATGTAAGGATCTTCAGGACCCTGTCCCCGAGACTCAGTGCTGCATATGCTCTGGCCTCTGATGCTAATGTGAAAACCTTTGAAGCAGCTTCACATTTTTGTTATTTCATTTTTTGGCTTTCTTAGTTATTTTAATTAGGCAATTAATCAACCTCCTATTAGATCTACTTCCCTAATTGCTTTGTTGCCACTTGAGATTTGTTAATCTGATCTATGGATTTTTTTTTTTTTTTCTTTTTTGAAATTTTCTTAACAAATGGAATTGGGTAACATTACTTGCTTGCCCCTGCACATTCATGCCTGTTGGTTAATGCCTCTTCGGTCCTGGCAAACTGAGCAATTATTTACTTCCCAAAGTCTTGTCCATATTATATGTATCTTTCACTACCCATTCCTTCTATATTGATTTTGAGCAAATGATACCTTCATTGAATTCTAGCAAATGATACCTTCCGAGTGATTATTTACCCATATTCTGTTTAACAATTGTACAGTAACCCAACCCTCTAACTGTTCTACATACTAGAGACTTGGCTAAACTCTCAGCTCTTACAGCAATGTGTATTGACATGATTAGATTTCTTTTTCCTTAAAATGGCATAACTATTGCACTTGCACTGTATGTGTTCATTTATGCAAAAATAGTGCAGAAATTGGTAGTAGTAGGTGTACTAGTTTTGATTATCAAAACACATCCTTCTTTGACCAACTTTGTGTTACTCGTCAGTGTCCAGAGAACCTTCGCTACAATTGGGGGCTCACATTTCATCAACTCATCGAATGGAAACTTGAGATTAAAGACAAAAAATGGGTCAATCTCCACTATTAGGTGCAATGTCGAGACACTGAAAAGGGCTGGCGAAGGCAACTGTCTTCCTAACCCTCAAGAGAAATTGTTCTCTGAGAAAAGCACAATTCTTAATGAAGAATGTTCTGCTGAGATGCAGCTTACAAATGCAACATCAGCATTTGGAACAGTTGCAGCTGAGATCACTCCACGTGTTGATGAATTCTTTGAGGATAGCAGTGATGGAGATTTGGACTGCCCATCAGAAGGTTTTTCATCAATTCCTGAAGCTATTGAAGATATACGCCAAGGGAAGGTCAGTTTGGTTGCTTAGCTTTCTTTCTTACCTTTCTGTTACTTTTTATTTTTATTTTTTTTGGTTGTGGGGGGGCGGGGGGGGATGATCATGGAGTTCATTGGCTGTTATGAAACATAATGAAAATTGCGATGTTTTATGTAATTTCACAACTGCCAAATGTTACATGAACATAAACCTCGGACAAGAAACACTGAAAAATGCTCTCTTTCATATTATCCAACATATTCATGAACTAATGCTCGAGTTAGAAATGTTGATGTTTTCTGTCTTGCCTTTTTATATATACTGTAGTAATTATGGTATATATGGCTGTTCCATGCCTGCTGTCCCACCCTTTAAGGTTCTAGATTTTTTAGATGCATGGAAAATGGAATAGTGGTGGTCAGAAACTGTTTTTGATACCCATGACAATTTAAAACGGTATTTCTTTTACCAATTTCCTTTTGTATTTACTTTCAAACATGGGGCTCTATTGTTTTACGATATATGGTGATGTTTTTTGTTTTTATTTTTACCAATGTAATGGAATTCCTCAAAAAAAAAAAAAATACCAATGTAATGGTACTTCCTTAAGAAAGAGGTTGTGGTTGGGAACCATCTCTTTGAGATACTATCTCACTCTTACTTTGTTATGCTGTCCAGTTTCTTGTTGTGTAATCTAGATACATTGTTCCTGGTGCAGACCTAGTAGCTTCAGCTAGGGTTTTAGCAAAGAGGAAGATAGGGAAGATCCAAAAATAGAGAAAGACTAAAAACACCAGAGGTAAAAGAAGCACTTTCTGCTTTAGGTTTTTTGAATAAAAGTTCATAACATGACCATCCATTATGCTTGAGTACATCCCTTATATAAGAAAACCCTAACAAGACTTAACCCTGGCCATCCATCTAATGTAAGCATGGCCATTTATTATAAGAGACTTTAAGTGGAAAAAAAATCAAAGACTTTAGAAATTGCTGCTTATGCCCCTAAGTGAATAAAAAGACTCATGAAATAAATAAAGGAACATTGTTTCATGCGGTCTGGACCACATTTCTACATAGGCGGTCCAGAAAGTGTAAAGCAACCATCTTAAAGATAGATGCAAGTAGGTGTTCCATCTAAAAACAATGGAAACTAACGGTCCAAATGTTTTCTTACTAGAATTATTATTAAAAATGATTTATTTTTTCAAATTCATGATCTTCATGTTAGAGATAACATGTGCTAAAAATTTAAGTCTTAAAATCCATCTCAAAAATAGATTTATTAAGAGGCCCGCATTTCTACATTTGCGGGCTTGGCCGCATAGAAATCGGGTCTATAAATAAAAGACATAAAAGGATAAACTCAATGACTAATTTGCCCTTATGGGGTTCGTCTTGTACTTTAAGCTTGTCTTTCTTTGATGAGAACAAAGTTTCTCCATGCTTGTCCTTGAATAGATTTCCATAACACTCAGGAATCTCAACCTTGAGACCGATTTGCCACCTCCTACTATCCCTATTCATACGGTCAACTACCTTTCTCCTTGGAACTTGATCATGGAAGGGATTTATGGATTTTTATCTACTTAGAGTTTCATCCAAACTCCTCAAATCTGCAATCCCCTCTCGTGAACTGGCATCAAAAAGGCATTTATGATTGTCGTTTTTCCTCCTTTTCCTCTGTGTTGAGGCGTGGTTGTTGATCTAGGGCACAAAAATCGATGTTACAGTATTGCTTTACGGTAACTTGCTACATACAATATGTTCTATAGTATGTGCTATTGCACCAGTATTGTGCTACAGTTCCGTCCTTACTGATCGTCGGGCTCTGATACAAACCTAGTGTAGACCTAGTAGCTTGAAATTAGGGTTAGCAAAGAAGAAGATAGGGAAGATCCAAAATTAGAGAAAGATACAAAAACTAGAGATAAAGGAGCATTTGCTGCTATAGGGTTTTTAATAAAGTTCATAACATGATCCCTTGAGTACATCTCTTATATAAGAAAACACTAAACAAGACTTAATCATGGCCGTCCATCTAATCTAATCATGGTTAATCATAAAGACTTTAAGTGAATAAAAGGACATCAAATACTCTCAAAATTACTACTTATGCCCCTAAGTAAATAAAAAGACTCAAAAAAGAAATAAAGGCATAAAATGATAAACTCAAGACTAATTTGCCCTTTTGCGGTTTCTCTTGTAAACTTTGAGCTCGTCTCTCTTATCTAGATACTCAAGAACAATACTCTAGGATGCATTAGTTCTTGAGTAGGATTTTGAGCTATCTCTTTGTCAGTGTGGGTCTTATGTTTTCAATCGAATGCTACACACATTGTGGACTATGGTTATATTTTTAAAATGGCGAAAAGCATTTCAACCTCTTGTTTTTGGAAATGTGCAATTCCATCACTTGTTTAATGGATTACCGTTATGCACATGAATTACGTCTAGATGTAGTATTATACAATGACTGCATAAACAGTAGAGAAGTTTTTGTGCAATCCATGTAACGAAAGTCTATTCATCTAAATGGAGTGATAAAAGATGGGTGCCACACATGATTTTGTATATCTTGGGATATTTTGACAAGAAATGAACCTTTTTTTTTCTTTTTTGGTAGTTCAGTGATAGAATAGAAATTTGGGCCACAATGTTGCAATTGTCAACACCTTAACTAGTCAAGCCCAAGCCTTAATCCTAAGCAATATTGTTATTTATAGAATAAGCTAAAACTCAGTTCCAGAGAGAAGTGTCAAATGACATAAGATCAAACTTTTTCTGTGATGCTCGAGTGATGGATGCATCAGATGACAAGAATGTCTACTACCCTTCCAAATTTTGATTCTGTTTTTAAAACTTTCACCCATATTCATTTCTCAAAAAAAAAAAACTTTCATCTATATTCCTTCCACACTCTTCCACTTTTTGAGGCAAAAGCGGCATTGATGTATAATTTGTTGCATTTTTTTTTCTCTTGCTCAGTGTTTTGCTGGGATAGAACAGAGAAAGGACCTAACTGGCATGACTGAAATTTTGTTGGAATGTTTTGGTGATGAAGAAAAGATTCTGGTGTGCCAATTATTGCACGTTCTGTACATATTGTTTAATTTATATTGGTTACTTTTTTCAGTTTGTGATTGTAGTGGATGATGAGGACAGGGAGAATGAGGGGGATCTTATAATGGCTGCGTCACTGGTAACCCCAGAAGCCATGGCTTTTATCGTAAAACATGGAACAGGGATCGTCTGTGTATCTATGAAAGAAGATGCTCTTGAGAGGCTACAACTTCCATTGATGGTTAGCCACAGGGAGAATGAAGAGAAGCTTTCTACAGCCTTTACGATTTCAGTGGTAATGCTCTCTCTCTCTCTCTCTCTCTCTCTCTCACACACACACACACACACACACACACACACACACACACACACTACTACTACGTCGTACGGTACGTACGTTACGTTTAACGTTAAACGTTAACGGTAAGTAACGTAAAAGTAAAAACGTTAAAAGTTAAGTTAACGTTTACGTTA